GTTTCTGTGACTTAAACTGCCATGCTGGACTTTTGTGCCTCATATGGACTGAACCAGGACTGAACCAGGACTGAGTCTCGGGACGGGCCCGGAGGTGCGCCTGCGCAGACTGTCGGGTGATCGTGACTGAGACCGGGACCGAGACCGGGACTGAGACCGGGACCGAGACTGAGACCGGGACCGAGACCGGGACCGAGACCGGGACTGAGACCGGTTCAGTCCTGGTTCATCGTTTGCCATCATTTGATGTGATGATACAGTATTGATATCGTGAGCTACTGTATCGATATATCACCAAGGGTATTTTTTGGTATATTTTACAAAATTATTTCGTTACAGTGCTACGGTTTAGTTTCTTGTTCAGAGGAAGGAAACTCATTTATGCAACACATTTGACATTCACTGTTTTGATGATTAAAATGTTTGTGTTTCATATTCACATTGCACAAGTGGTTTAACAAAGACTTTTAGTATCACAACCATGATTTAACCTCTATTTTTTATTGAACTGTATTGAATCATTTTGAAATATATATCTCTATACAGTGCACTTTCGATTTGACATGATATATCGTATCATAGCCTATGTATTGAAGTCTATGTATTCTTAATGAGCCCTAGTGGGGTCCATGGAGACAGGCATGTGACGCCATCAGGTCTAGTTACAGCTTATATCTGTTGAGAGGCAAATTTTATCACAGTATGAACATATGTTTATCAAAGTGTCTTTTTCAGCAATAAAAACATGTGTAATACAACCAATGCAACATTCACAAGCTCTACTGAGGTCATTTCACGCAAAGCAAACACTTCCATAGAAACAAGCAGGTCTGTCACCTGCCAACCTCCTCCAGAAGTTACATAGTGCACCTTTAACAATCCATTTTAATAATGAAAATAGTAAAAAGGGACATGGGCAAACATTTTAAGGATGATGCAAAAATGATGCAGACCAACAATTACCATGCTAATGTACTTCCTAATTATCGAACAATAAAAGATGCAGACAGCTCGCAGCGGACAGATTTGACCTCAAGAGCTGCTTATACAATATGTCTTTTCTACTTTATAACTGCGATATATTTTTATATTACTATATTTTATTGGTAACACAGTTTAGGGACCACATATTAATAGTTAACTAAGTGGTAATTGGTATGCTAATTAACTGTTACTTAGATATTAGTTGGAATTAATCAAGATTTCAGAGTATGGACAAAAACATTTATTGCAGACATGTCAGACTCAGGCCCGGGGGCTAAATTTGGCCCGCGATATAATTATATTTGGCTCGAGAGATCATATCAAATATGTATTAGAGCAGAATTTTCTTGTTATTTTATATTATGCATGTTCTGGATTCAGTGTTTAAGCAAAACCATTATTAAACATTTATTTTAATAAGAAAAGGTTTAAGATTACATATCTCGAAAGAAGAGAAGACATGCAGGTGTTGTTGAAATTTTTCAATAAATATTTAGTTTAGCCCACGACTTAATCCCAGTTTTTAATTTTGTCCTCTGTGGATTTGAGTTTGATATCCTCATTTATTGTGATCTCCACTGCTTTAATGTAAAGGAAATAGTTAATGGGTTAGTAGTTGCAAAAAAAGGCCTTAGACAAAAATGCATAGAAAGTACTTTATAAATACTAACAAAGATGTAATTAAGCACTTATTATGCATTTTAATATTAACTAGCTATTAATATGTAGTCCCTAATTTGAAGTGTTATAATTTTATTTTGACTTTTTTTTGACTATTTTTTTATATTTATGCCTTATTTGACACCAGTCTTTTGCTATTTTACTACTTTACTACTTATTTTGAATGTATTACTTCCATTTATATATTTTCTCTTTGTTGTTATAATATAATTGTGAGCTACTGTGTCCAAATAACTTCGCTTATGGATCAGTAAAGTTTGTTTAAGTCTCGATCTGTGTCTGTAAAGAGGGCAAGACTAATTTAGCTCAAATAGGAATAAACCCGGTGCAGTTCTTTTAATGCAGTCCCCCCCCCCCTTTTCTATTCTATCCATATTCAGAAGTGTTTCCTGTTTGTCTGTAGCGAGAGCCCATGACTCACTTAATGGCTGCTCTTCCACGCGGCGCCGGCGACTGGAGGAAATCGAGGTCAATTACATGATTCTCCAAAAATCCGCGGCGAAACTCCCCCCTCGCTGACCTTTTTAACTCCAAAACAACTCGCCAAAGACCGGCCACGCATTTTCACTCAGGGATGCAAACCCACACGCGCTCAATCGGTCATTAAGCACGCCGCAATGTTTATTTTAATTGGACGCATTTAGTCGTATTTGTTTTGATGTGGAGTCTCGCATTATAAACTGCTCCAGGTCATTATAGCGGAGACATTACCTTTGGATATAGTACAAAGTTTTCAACAAATTACCATAGCAGAGGTATAGAGTATTTGCACAAAAGCTAGCATACAATTAGCCAAGCCCTTCTGGATATTGTTGTGGATGTCTGTTTTCGAGCTTTACCTGACACATACTCTTAATTAGAATCCAACTTGTGCGTATTGTGTAGTGTAAAACCGGGGCTGGCTGCAACTCAAAATAATGAGTTTTGCCTAAATGAAAAGTACTTTATTGTGTTTCTTACAGCTAAAATTACATAAAACTGGTCTAGAACGATGTAGCAGCGTTTGTATCGAGACGAAAGCGTCTGGTTTTGCTTCAACAAAACAGAATGTGGCCTAAAGTCGTCGGAATACATTATAGATACAAGATCAGGGAGGTTTAATGATGGGTATAGCTTTTGTCTGGAATGGCATTAAGTATCTTGCCTTTACTCGAGTATTTTTATTGGTAAAGAATTGGTATTGGTATTGAAACACTTTTTTAGCGTGAGTGGAGTCGCCGTTGGAGGAGGGTCGGTCTGCAGCATTGGCGTTCCAGACGTACAACAGAAACTCACTAATGGGCATTTCTGTAGCGTGTAATCAACCAGTTTTGGACTCTTTCGCTTTTTCGCTTCTTCTTGGCAAAAGTCTATACTGTCAGTGGTCGAAGTAAAGCGGCGAGAGGTTATGTCCGTACATATCTTTTGTTTGTAGAGTTTGAGCGATTCCAGCGTCATGTTAAATGTACATGAACAGAATGTTGTTAGAATGTGATCAGACCCTCTCCGGTAACTAACTTTTTAACTTGGCTGTTTTCATTGTCACTGTACGTATGGGAGAGGGTCTGATCATTCTGTTTATGTACATTCAACATGACGCTGGAATTGCTCAAATTGTACAAAGAAATGATACTTACGGACATAACCCAAGTGCAGCATTAACACTAGTATTTGTCATGAATGCAGTTTTTTTTCTATCCAAATGATGCACTTCCAGCAGTAGACCCACTACTGTGTTGAAAGTACTGAAGGAAGGCTTTTTTTGGAAGGGGATATAAGCTAAAAACGGGAAGTGGAAGAAACAACCATTTATGTTCTGCAGACCTACGATATTGCACAGATCTGACATGTAATTTGATCTAGTTATATCACCCCTTTACTCTCCACATTTAAAGAGCCATTAAACACCCTCCCGAAGCTTTACTCCGCCCCTCAGCTAAATCTGAAAAATCCTCCAGAGTGGGCAGTGTCGGGCAGGTTGGGGGGAGCTCTAAAGCGATGATGCAACACGGCACACAGCGGTGAGCTCTGGACTTTGAAATAGAGCAGACATTTGTGCTTGGATCATGCCTTTTCCCTTTTCTCCAGACATAGCGGGACATCGTGGTTCCCGGTGGTGCCAGGTGAGGGGCTCCTCACGTAGAGCCCGTAGACGCCAGTGGCTGCGCTGGTCACGTACTGTAGTAACCTGTATCTGACTCATTGGCGGCTGTTCGTCCAACCCGAAAAGTCAAATGCACTGGCCGTAGTTGAGCTTAAAGTCAGATTTTTAACAAATATGCACTAAAATGCCAAAATAAGGTCAGGGATAGATACACACTTCTATTTTAGACCCATTACACAGCTAATCAGTAACTGTGTAATGACCTATCGTGGAACATAGACAAAGCAATAACATCTTCATGGAGACAGGCAGGTGGCAGATCACCTCACTAGAAAAAGTTAGTGCACCTTTTAGTTTCCTCTCAGTTTTTATCTTATAGCACAATAGTTGTCCCTTCATTCACTGACATTTGATAGGGTTAAAGGCTCTGTACCTGTACTGTCTTAAAATGTGAAAAACTGAAGCAGTTTAACAGTTTGCAGAGGTCCAAAGTTATTCTTGACTTACCTTAGGCATTCTGCGCTTCCTCATCAGATTTCACAACTGTCAGGGACGTGAGCAAAGTGATGTGACAGTAAAGCTACCAGTAATTGGTATGCTAACCACGCACTTCTTCATTATCTAACAATAGAATGTTTTTCAATTAGACACAGACAGCACGCAGAGCACTTATTGTGACCTCAAGAGCTGCTTGTGCCACGTATCTGTTCTGGAGCAAGATTTGATTGTATTTGCTCAAATACGACAGCACCACGACCTTATAAGGGCTTTTAAAGGTGCACTATGTAACTTTTTTGTTGGGGCTTTGTCAACTGCTTGTTTCTTTGGATATGCCATTGCTCTGCCTAGAATGTTCCACATTATGACATTAAACAGTTCAATCTAACATTTATTCAATTACAGCTGGATTTATAGCTCAAAAATACCTAGAAAACAGGCATTCTAACTGTGAGTGGGGTCGCCTCTCCACAGATCTGACCTGTAACTTGGTCGACTTTGGGCTCCATGAAGATAGAAAGGGTTAATGCCACACTGTGAGACATTCAAGACAAAGCAAAAACATCTCCATGGAGAAAAACATCTGACAAACCCTCCACCCGAAAAGTTACACAGTGCACCTTTAAACTAAAAATACCACGTACTCTTTAAACAACAGGTCACGCAGACAGAGGAGCACAGAGGAGATGCCTGAGACCTTCTTTGTTGTTTATTGTTGAGAATGTTATGAATATGTTCTCTGTCTCCTCTGTAGACCCACGTTCCGGTACTTCACGTGGCACACTTGCATCCTGGGCATCGTGGGCTGTGCGGTGATGATGTTCCTGATTAACCCCATCTACGCCTCGGCCAGCATCGCCTTCATGCTCCTGCTCCTGCTCCTCATCCACTACCTCAGCCCCACCTCCAGCTGGGGCTACATCAGCCAGGCCCTCATCTTCCACCAGGTACCAGCCCAATCTGTTTCTATTGCTGGGTTACAGACGACATCACAGCATCTTTAGGCCAGTATGAATTAATATAGATGGGGGGTAGCTAAAATTTGAATTGTTAAATTGCTAAATTATGCTGTAATTTAGTGAGTTCTTGGGTTTAGTAAAAAAAATGTATTCAGTGATATATCGCAGTACTACACTGCACAGTTCTTGAATCGATTCAAAATGCGTCTGAATCGAGTTTTTAAAATCATATTTTTCACAAAAATTCCAGAGTTACATTTACTGTTCTCATGATTTAAAAAATAATTAATGTAATATATAATTTTGTGCTTGTGATGGTGCACATGGCTATATTATTAGAAGTAATTATTGATAAATCGCAATATATTTAGTATTGGGATATATCGTATCATGACATGCATATTGTGATACATATCGTATCATTAGATATATGGCAATGCACACCCCTATTATGTGTGAATTGTAGGGATGTAACAATAACCGAAATATTGTGATATCGTATCGTCAAAGTTCTCACAATAATATCATGGACCATCACAGTATATCAAATTACAAGTCTCGTTGCTTAAATTAAGAGTTCTGGTGCAGCAATAGCTAAAAAAAAAAGACAGACAAAACTACACAGACCATGATCCTTTGCTCCATCTCAGTGTAGACTACATGAAGAATAACAGTTCTTTTAAGTCTTGGTTCTTTGGATTAAGTCTTATCAAGGCAATTTAAGAGGGAAAAGTAGAGTATTAGCCTCCACAAAATATCGCAATACATATCGTACAGTGAGATGGATATCGTGAAAATATCGTGCAGAGAGATTTGGATATTGTTACATCCCTAATCATGAGCCTCCCCACGATATCGCAATAACTATAGCGTGAGGTTCATACCGTGACAATGTCGTATCGTGAGACTTGGATATCGTTACACCCCTAGTGAATTGTGTCACTATGGTAGCTGATGAACATTCTGGCGTAGAGATGTATGTAGAGTGCCGCCCCCCCCCAGCCTGATGTCACTGCAAAGTATTAATTGGTGCTTTTCAGATTCTTGAGTGTGGTGATGTCATACTCCCAAATGGGGGACACGCTTTTTCCTATTGATTACTTTGTACTTTGCCATGAAATATTTAAAAAGTAAATGCACAAATGTTGAACCTGGTCGTTTATTACTGACAAGACCCAGTGTTGTGATGTCATCTTTTTATTTTATCATGCATTTTAGTATTGTAACTCTATTAAAATGTTTATTTTTTCATTTAAGGATCCCCATGAGTCTCTGCAAGTGCACAAACTCCTCTTCCCCTCTCGTAATAAAAGCATTAACAACCTGTACATACATTAACAGTAAATTACATTAACAATCAATACATAACAACAACTTATATCAGTTAATTGCATATTTCTATTTTCTTGCTTCTTACTGGAATTTCCAAAGCTTATCTTATCTTTGTGTCACAGCAATAACTCATTAGGAACAGGGGTGGGAGATTGAAAAATATTGAAAACATAATAATCAACTTTATTTTTTTATTTATTCTGCTGAAAAATTATGCGACTTTTATTTTCTGAATCCCTCCCCATTGTTGCGCTCCATAGTTACTCACTTTAACCCAACAATACCCAGCATGCTCACTTTTGCCACCAAGAAGACCAGCAAGAAAACGACACAAAAAAAAAACTTCCTCTTACCTTAACCTCATAAATGATTGTGAAACTTCTTTTGTTATCGGCAGGGAAAACATCTTTATTACTAGTTACAGGGGAGACTAAGAAGGAGGGGCACTTCTCCATCTCGGTGATTAAACCCACTGTGAACCAGGCTCAACATTTCCACACTGAATCAGGGTCTAATTATGAAAAATAGAAAACGATTGTGTAACGGGTTCAACAAAAAACACTCGAAAACTTTGCAATTTAAAAAGGCTCTCAATAGCTTATAAGTGAGTAGACAGATTTCACTGAAAAAGTATTATTTTAGTATTAAAGGCAGATATAAGTATATAAGTTTAAAGTGCATATGAGAGGTTTAAATGATTCTCTAATTTGGACTTTATTTGTTGGGATAATACATGTTGTAAATATAAATTATAGTTTTACACCAAACAAGAAGCTATTTGCAAAAGAAGAAAAGTTGAAAGAAAAATTACAGGAACTCAAATTAGAGGAAAAAGAGGTCTATATTAAAGGTTGTATAGAGGATTTTTTAAAGGTTGTATGGAGGATTTTTTTTCAGTTTCAAATTGTCAATGAAAGTTTAAAATACCATTACAGAGATGCAGCAGCCTTGACCAAAAAAGAAAAAGAATGAAAATCTATCAACTGTGGACGTAGTGAGGCCAGATAAACATCCAATAGAAAACGAGACTACCTCATTTTCTATTGGCTGTTAGGTTGTCAATCAAACTCCCTACGTTTCTAGTGTAACTGACTCGCGGCGCGCTGGGATTACGTGGTTTATGCAGCGGTTTTTAGAGGCTTTTTCGAACTGTCGCTTCCTCACAAATCACACAAAATTTGTTGCGATTGCAGACGAGAATCCACGACCAGTTCGCCACAAAAGAAAGTCAGTTTTTGAGGTCGCTAAAAGAAGAAGAGAAAGGGAAAAGGAGCAAAACCAAACTGAGGTGATTCTTGGAGATTTCTTTCAGCGATGGCGCGACTGAAGCAGACGAAGGATCTAAAAACTGAAGACGCATCGGTCGCTAAACTATTTCTAGACAGGTCACTTCAACAGGAATTCTGAACGTGCACTGGCTGTAAACAAGCGTGATTTCTAAAGTAAAGAGGCAGGAGGAGGTGTTTCTACTGAGGGAGCTGTGGAGGAGGGAGGTGGTGTCACGCATGCACAACATTTGAAAAAGGACTGTCACTGTATTTCACTTCCCTTAAAAAATCCTCTATACAACCTTTAATGACATCACACTTTGGAGAATTCTGTCCAAAACTATTAAACACTTTTTTTTTTTAAATACTCAATTCCTCAAAAATTCCTCGAGTAATTTAACTGTTTTTTTTACTAAATCGCTCCATATATCCTGCTTCATATATTTGATGTTTTCTGTTGTAACTAAAATGTAGAAAGTGGTAAGAAAACATAATTAAAAAAAAAAAAGAAAAATATGAGAGGCTGTGTCCAAACTTTTGACTGGTGCTGTTGAAACATATGCTATCAGTCAAAAGTTTGGACACACTTTCACCAAATATGTGAAGCAAGATATATGGAATTATTTACTAAAGAAAAAAGTGAAGTAACTCTAGTAAACAAACAAACAAAAAAAATCGACAAAGCAAATGGTGGCTAATTTGAGAATTTGGTTATCATTTTTATTTAACTTTTTTTTTTGCGACATAATTCCATAAATGTAGAAACTAGTAAAAATAAAGAAAAACACTGTCCAAACTTTTGACTGGCAGTGTTTATTCAATTAAAATCACAATTAATAATCACAATTATTTAAGAATGAAACAACATTTTACAACAGTAACTCATGCTGTCCTTCATACTAAGATTCGAAAGAGAATTTGCCCAATTTTGGCTGCGATTTACTTCTCTGCAAGTTCAGGGAGGCTTGACACGACTTTGTGTCTTTGTGTGCGATTTTGAAAGCCCTTGCACTCTTAATGTGTGTGGCGTAACCAGTGTGTCAGGAGCAAATGGAGTAATGGACGCACAGGCACAAGATACAAACTCAGTACAGTGGTCCCTCATTTATCGCATGTTTTAAGGCTGTAAAACCCCTCACCACACACTTTATACACTTTTCTCAGACAGGACAGTTACAACCCTTTTTGCATCCTTCTTAAAACTTATTGTTGTCCTTATGTTCTTTTCCTTCTTCTTTATGTAACAAACCAAAGATGAATTTATTCCGTAATGGCGCCTAGAGCCGTGTAACTTCTACCTTCCTTTAGTGTGTCCAGAAGTCCAACTTTTTGTGTGATGGTTTGCGTCTTCCTCTGCCTTTTGGGTACAACCACAGGAGACGTTGTCGGTGCAGAACATGTGTTCTGTGTGTGGGTTTTGTCAGGGAGAAGTCTTGCAAACACATAGCACTTCAGAATAATACTGCTAGAGATCCAACATTTATGTCAATTTGACAAGCTGAACTCTTCTGTACTGTACAGGATACTCTGCACGGAGGAGATTGATTGACAATGTTCCACAGTCCCTTAGCCAATCAGGACACCGGGGGAGGAAAACAATGCGTGTTCATATGCTGTAAGAAAAAAAAAAAAAAAAAGCATGCAAAATTTCACAAAAAAAGCTGCAAAACATCAATGTCGTGAAAGGTGAACTACGTTATAGTGAGGGATGACTGTATAGTGAAAATAATTATTACTCACCTCCTGTAAAGTTGTGAAATTTTAAACTGCAGTATTTCATTCATATTGTCCATAGAATTTGTCCTCTGGAAGTAATGACACCCAGTCCACAAAACATCGCTATTAATCCAGTTTGAGGCGTTCTTTAAAAGTAAAAAGGCAAGAGTAGTTCCTCAAGTGTGTCTGTTTACATCCACACACACTTTATCATCTGTGGATCGCAGCCATATCTCGCTGCAGTCTTTGCGATCGGACATTTTAAATCTCATAAGTATCTCCTCGTGTCTGTGTTGTGCTCTTTTTATCGCATGTTTAAAAATCTTTTAAGACCAAAAAAATCCCGTAGCGTGTGACGGCCTTAATGCTATATTGCAACCAAATACATTTTTATCCCAGCGCTGCTCCTCTGAATTTGAATGCTGTGCACACTTTAGATTAGATGGCTCTTGACCAAACATGAGTATCTCCCTCTCTGAGAATGACAAGAGGCCCTGGATCCGCACACACATTTGGAACTCTAATCGGAACAGTGCGTCGTCACAAAAACTGCATCCCCCCTCTGCTTTACAAGGGGCTGTACCTGAGCCAAAGCCATCACTCTGCTCCTTTATAGAGACACACGGACGCACACAGATACAGCCCCCTCTGCCAGCCGTGTACGCATTTACT